AAAAAACTTTTGGGTGTTTCATTCCCACCAGCCAGTAATGCTGGTGGGCTGGCAGTCCCTGCGGACTACGCCGGAAGGTAGGGCGGAAGGCCCTCTTCAGCCTGCTTTCAGGAATCGTGGGAATGGGTGGGTGGTGGTTCGGGTGAGAAAGATGAGACGGACGAAATGAAGACAGAAGAGAATGAAAGATTATCTGTGAAATATAACTGCCTCAGCATTTGCCTAGGTGATCCAAGGAAACCACAGAAAAACTTGGACCAAGGCAGACGGACCCGGAATCGAACCGGCGTCCTCCCTCTTTTATACCGTTTAATACCTTAAACATCGGATTGCGGACAAGAGGGTGAAGCCACTTAAGTCCTTCCAAATATAGGAAATAATAATTATGCCGAATTTTTGTTCGCTTCACGTATAACGTCCCCTAAAAGCTAATATGTAAAAATATTTCTAAACACTTATAAATCATGTTCTATAGTTTCCTATATTTTGAAGTTCGACTTAAAAACCTTATATGTAACAAGCGTACTTAAACTAAATCTTAATCTAGCCCCCTCTACACAAAACGTTGCCTACCCCTGCTCTAGATAATGGTTGCTATGTCCGAAACAATATTGTTTTTTTTTTGTGAAAGTTATTTGTTTTCTTTCGTCTTCCTTTTGAAATGTTTCACGAAAAGTGCACTAAGCAAAGTTTAAGGTTTATGATATAGAAATATACATCCATTAATAGAGCGTGATTGGAGTGTATTAGATTCAATTAAAATTAAAAAATACTTGTACAACGTTCGTGTTTGAAGTACATGCTAAATACAACATTGCAATTGATTTTATAGGTAACTTAAGGGGCACTTGATTTTTTTTCTGTTGGTATGATTTAAAACAAATTAATTGATATCCTTCTTGACTGTATCTTTCTTATTGGAATGAGTTACTGGTTTTCTCGTCCATGTTCCGAATACCAGATCGTAAGTTTATGATATAGAAACTTGTCAACTTCTAACCATAAACATACTTACAATAAAACCATATTTTTATTATTAGAATACACACATAACTAGTTACGATCACAACAATATAGGACCACCATTAGTTATTTATGAGTAGTCACGTACAATGAAGAACCTGACTATGAATTCTTGCTTTTTGTTATTAAAATTGATAAAGGCACAGACGTCACTAGTAGAGGGAGCAGTGCCCATTTTACACAAAGTTAAAATTATTCCTACATCTTCACAAAATTCAAATTTTTGAAAATCCTTGGGTAAAGTTCAGATGAAGTAAACCTTAATGGAACTCGTTGTAAAAATGTAAAAATATATGGGGTGTTTGTTCTTAAAAAGTACACGTCTGATATGTTTTGCGTATTTTTGACACCCTTATGGATCCCTATACATCCTTACAACAAAAATTTTTAAAAATCTAGGAACACATCTGTAATCTTTTAGGTCGAATAACGTGAATAATCCTGTACACAAGGAGAGTGAATGTTCTCGATTAATACGGGGCATCAGTTAATCCTTCATTAAATTTCTTTATTACTTCCAAAAATACCCTGTAATCTCATGGAACTTTGAATCATTCTCATCAAATGTTCACGGGCCACAAGTCCCAAAAACCTGAAGTTTTTGACTTACGGAAGTCCAAACTTATCTCAAATTGCAAATTTGTATGTCAGTGTGTCAGAGTCTGACAATTGGACAAATGTAAATTAGAATCACACCCATCTGAACCTTTCAGATTAAAATTTTCTGTATATCATCCAGTTGCATGATGTTTATTTAAATAGCCCAAAAACAATCACAACCTCCTTGTTAAAATTAACTTTAGTAGTTTAAGCGACATCCATAATTTGCTCTTTTTGGCCAATATCAAACTAAATCAGAATGGTTTTTAGTTTAATCAATTTTTTTTGTGTGAATAAAACATATTTTAATAATTCTTTTTCATCTCGAATATGCTATTACCTTAACGAAAACATGATACGTATACATAAATATTTATTTCAATCTTAAATGGAATAGAAAATGTCAAAAGTAGGTACATCAGTCATATTCTATGACTTTTCTAGAACATCCGTGCCAAATTATACTACCCTAAGTCAACCACTAGTTATCTTTTTATATCAGTCTGCAAGCAGGTGGTGGAAAACTATGTGTCTCAGATAAAGGCATAATATTATGGCGCAACTTCCTAGTGAAAAACCGAACTGTGTGGTTCACATAGAATCACTTTATGTTTGAAACCTTTTGTATGTGGGTTCGTCTACAAAAAAAAAACTATTAACGGGCTTTGTCGAGATTTTTTGGACTTGTGATCATTGAGACAACTACATTTTCCTAAATAAAAACTTAGTTGANTCAATTATATTAAAAAGATGTTTAATTATTTGCTCCTTCTCATGATTTGAGTCTTACTGGTACATGAGTCAACTTACCCCCGGCATATGGTCTACCTACCCCGGGCCAGGGGTAGATTGACTAAGATTTAATATTTTGTAAAATTCATTAAATCATCACTATTGTACTGAACTAAGAACTAAACATTACATATTTTTATTAGGTTAATAGATTTTCTATCAATTAACATGCTTTTCTTGTCTATATACATTAAAACAAAAAAAAAATATGAACTATTTAGTAAAAAACTAGTCAACCATCCCCGGTCTCCCCTACCCCATAGCAAAGAAAGTATGTTTTAATTAATCGATCGTTTTAATTTTCAATCATTAACTACTCAGAAAGTATCCGTTAGATTCAAAAATCACAAAGGAAAAAATTCCTTAGTATTTCACAGAGAATCCAATGGTATTGTAATTTTTTTATTTTAAAATACTGTAGAGATAGAAATCTCGCTTTGGTAGCAGAATGTGTATGGGTAAAATTTACCTCCGAGATCTTCAAGTGTAAACAGTCGTAATAAGATTGATTGTCCTGCAAACAAGCGATTAAGACTTCACCCCGGTAACGTTTTCCGTATAAACAAATATTCTGAGAATTGCTGACCCTCCACCCCACCCCCGTTGCTTGCAGCTATCCGGAAACCGGAATTAAGCAGTCTTGTTATGGCTTGCACCGAGTTTAGTTTACAGTAACCGTTCAGAGGGAACCGTATCACATGCCTAGTGTCCTGTTGATTCCAGGATACTCCCGAACGGGCATCCATTAGGGCCTGGTTTGTCTCCGGAAACACTTCGTCCAANTTTATTATTAGAATACACACATAACTAGTTATGATCACAACAATATAGGACCACCATTACTCATTTATGAGTAGTCACGTACAATGAAGAACCTGACTATAAATTCTTGCTTTTTGTTATTAAAATTGATAAAGGCACAGACGTCACTAGTAGAGGCAGCAGTGCCCATTCTACACAAAGTTAAAATTATTCCTACATTTTCACAAAATTCAAATTTTTGAAAATCCTTGGGTAAAGTTTGCATGAAGTAAACCTTAATGAAACTCGCAGAGGGAACCGTATCACATGCCTAGTGTTTTGTTGATTCCAGGATACTCCCGAACGGGCATCCATTAGGGCCTGGTTTGTCTCCGGAAACACTTCGTCCAAAAGCGCCCTATCCCCGGACAGCATTATACGTTCCCCCAAGTCAGGACTCACGTGTAAGGCTATGCATTCAAACGAACTGTGTGGTTGAGTTTTCGAAAGGTCGCAGTTCGATATCATGGACGGGTGTCCTGCATTACCTCCAGAATTTGCTTTGAGGGATGGAACCCCGCCAAAAACAATTCCGTTTTTTATTCGTTCTTTTTTTAGTTGCTCCAATTGGCGAATCATTGCTAGAAATTGAAAATATATCGATAAGAATTTAAAATTTCGTAACGTCTTTGGAACTGCATTTAATATTACTTACGTGCAATATCGAAATATTTGGCTTCCTCCAGCAGTAAGTCCAGGTCGGTAAAATTTTCAGGAATAAGTAGTCTTGAGTTTCTCATAAAATTTAGAATGTGTCTGAACATCGCTCCGTCGCGGTCAATAAAGTAATGTTGTTTTAAGGAATCTAATACGATAGGAATACTGCCATTAAATAATTTTGCCAGTCTAGATTCAGGATACCTAAAAATTAAAAGAAAAACGTATCAAAAACGTCAAGCAAAGGCATGAATGCAAGTGTGTTTCTTATCTTCTAGTTTCTGTTTGAAGCCTATCCAGTCAAAAAAGATTGCATTTGTGATAAAAATTGCAAAAGAACTTTCAATTAATTATTAATTAGAATGTTTCTTGAGCCACACATGTATATGTATATCACGATTGTATTTATCGAAGAGTCGATCATTCCAGTTCACTTCGAACTCAATCAAAGTGGATTATCCATTAGTAATATTACGAAGAACCCAACTTCTGATATTTAAGATTTATTGATTAAAATAATTGTGAACAGAAAAACAGAACTTCATTTTACTAATAAAATCAAGTTACTTCTTTACAAGCTCTTTAAAAATCTCAATAAATTATTTTCGTTTCCAACATTAGGAATACAAACATTATTAGAAATACAAACGTACAATAATACTATCATGATTTCATAGAAAGACCTCAAAGGTTATAAAAAAACTTCGTGAATGTTAAGGCGTCTTTAACAGTTTCAAAGTATGAAAACCATGAAGACTGAAAAAAAAACTACAACATTAATACGTGGTCTTCCTGTACCCTTGTATCATGATCATAAAACCTTCAATCAAAGACTGATTGGACACGCACGTATTTTGACCCAATCGTCACATTTTTCGAAAACTACATCAACTTACATCTCTAACTCTAACTATTGGGTTGTTCGGAAAGTCATTTCNATTAGCTAAAGTAATTTTTTGCAAGTGGAATAACTCACGCCCACGTGACTTCATTATTTGCAGTGTGAGAAACCGACTGTAATTTTGCTTACGATCTCACGATAGGAAGATGCGTGTTAATAAATTTATATCGTGTGTTTCGTACAACATTTCCCGAAGATTTGCATTAACTTGGCCACAACAAACACTTGTAAAAGGGCTTCTAGATAAAAACACGTGAAATACGCTAGGATCGAATAAAGTACATGCTACATCCATATTCACATATTCGTCGTGGGACAAGATACGTTGACTTTAGCTTTTTTACAAATGTTTCAGATAAATTACCTACATGAAAGCTTTCGTAATGTTAATTCGTTTGGTTGTCTTAGCCACGCACATAGTTAAAAAGGAAATCTAAGGAGTCTGGACCCTGCACCCCTTCGCGAAACAGCAGCGCTGTCTGTTTTAGGAACTTGAAATTAGTTGACAGTAAAATGAGCGAAAATGTCATTATAAATCATTTGGATCACTATAGCCGGATATGATTTCTTGAGAATCAGTCATAATAAACGATATGTTATTTTAAACGGAGTCGTTATATCCAAACTTTCCTATAGAGAATTTAATATGAAAACCAAACTTACACTGCAATTACTTCATATTAAGCGGTTGGTCGATATAGGCGGAGTCATAATAAACGAATTGCACTGTATGTAAAAATAAACAAAAGTAAAGCAGAAATAGTGGTATGCAAGGAATGAAAAAGTAGAGAAAGTGTGAATATAAAGATAGGAGACGAAAAATTAGAAGAAGTAGTTGATTTTTGGTATTAGGAAGTCAGATAACTTAGGATGCAGAAGCAGTAGAGATATAAAGCAGAGGATAGCGCAGGGTCGAGTCTCTTCTATGCTCACGAACGGTTAATTTTGAAATTCGGAAAAGATTGTTAAAGAAGTATGTCTGGAGCACGGCGCTGAACGGGTGCGAAACGTAGACTGACGAAGCGGCGGAAAAGAAAAACTGTTACAGGCGAATGATTAGGATACCGTGGATACAGAAGGTTGAAATGAGGAGGTATTAGAAAGAGTAGGAGAACAGAGACCACTATGGAAGTAGTATAAGAAATAGGTGAGATAGGTTGACAAGATATCTTCTCAGGCATGAAGAGTTAGTTGGAGATAGTGATGGACTTAACAGTTCTTTTTAACGATCTAGTTCTCAAGAACTAGTTTCCCAATACGAACTAGTTCGCGAACTGTTACCTACAATTACTCGTTTAAAGTATGAAAGAGATCTCTCTATCATACATGCTAATATGCAACTTATTTATTTTCCATTGACTTAATTGCATCACTGATTAACTACTCTTCCTATTAATTCTGAAATTATTAATAAACAAATAATAAAAATGAATGAATACTCTATATGAAATACAAATATATGTCAAATATGAAATCTAAATTCTGGAATTGGAATTTCAAACGAACGATAATTTTGGTAATTCTTTTTGATCTTTACTTATCTCGCCGTGGCTGTGAAAAAAAAAGCTAAATGATCCAGTAAGAAATGACCTTTAACCTCTGACACGGGGGTGAAGCGGGTTGTAACACTTGAAATTTACAATACACTGGAAACGGAGAGACTTAACTTAGCAAGGATGTACTGATGTAACGAAGAGAAGCTACAGAAATCAATTTTTTATTTGGAGATATCAACGGGAGCGCAAGCGAGAAACTTGGCACATGAATACCAAAAACAAATTAATTATGGGTCACTGCTCCTGTTCTCGGCACGTTACCGTCACAAACTTGACCTTCTCCTTATTTTTTTCGTAATTAGTGCCTACTTCGTGTTATTATTATTATTATCATTGTTACAATAGTTGAAACTTTCGTAACGTATGTGACTGCCCATTACGAGAAGAAATGATTCAGCGCTCAATCAGATAGATAGATCTTGTTGTAAATGCAAGAAAACAAACCTACTTGTGCTCACGCCCTCAGGCACGTAAATATGTAGGTATACAGTAGACATAGCGCTATTATTGTGTACTGCACTTACTTGGTGAGTGTTTCAAGCGAGGAAGTGTATATGGTACCGCCTACGTCGATATGAACTGGCGCCGTATACCTGGACGCGGCCGCCACACATGGGATTCCGGTGATCTTGTTGAAGTTGACAGATGGTGGCGTTGGAGACGAAGAATTTGACATTGTTGGAGAAGTCGCTGGAGAAGTGCTAGGGGACATCAGTCTAGAAACAAAGGAATGCAATTGTTATTTAGACGAATTAACAAAATTCCTTGATAGCCAATAGTCACAATGGAAAAACCTCTGGGTCCATTTTTGATAGCTTAGAGTTAAGATCGTCTATTGGNATTGAAAGCTATAAAATATACAATAATTTTTTAGGTTCAGTAATTTCCGAAAACAAAAAGGGAACAATATAATATGCAAAAAGAAATCTAAAAAGAACAGTTTTATTTGGTGCATATTGCGAACGTTTTTATCATCATAGATAAAGATAAGTTTGTTCAGTAAAAAGAACATGTCAAGGTAAACGCGTTACAGATCAAATAATATTCATCACTATGTTTAATCGTTTCTTATTCCTTGTGTAAACCAAATTAAAATCTTTATGTATCCAACTTTTTAATCTTTCTAGTTAGTGAACTATACTGTTAAATCGTCGGGCTTAATTAGCATTGAAAATAGCAGGAAAAGATTGAACTTATTGATACAACTTCTCAGGTAAAAGTTGCCTCTAAAAAATGATGTGAATCTAAAGTCTAAACTGTATTTCGTTTGGCCAAAGAAAGTCTCTAAAGAATGATGTGAATCTAAACTGTAAACTGTATCTCGTTTGGTCCAAAAAAAAGGGTAAATGTACAAAACAGTCTACAAAATTTATAATTTAGGACCTAGAGATAGCTTTAAATAAAATGGAAGCGGTACTGACAGATCAGTACTGTATGAAAATAAATAAAAGTAAAACTAAAATACTGATATGCAAGGGAAGAAAAAGTAGGGAAAGAGCGAATATAAAGATAGGAGACGAAAAATTAGAAGAAGTGGCTGATTTTAGATACCTA